ACAATCCTCCGGCCGGAGCTGACGTCATTGTTAGAGAGACATCGATAAATTCCATAAGTCCAACTTCAGCTTGGCCCCTTGTTCAGGTAGATTCGTTCGTTCTTATATTGAAAAGTTGTTGTCAATGTTGATCTCGGATCGGCGTTTGAATAGGCTTCTAATGACATCGATGGTATCTCTGAAACTCAAGTAGACGAATCTCGTCGGAATGTACCGTACTCGTTCAGGCGCTATAGTGCAATATGAATGAAGTAAAAAAGATACTATAGAAGAAGTAGCGACAATTAGGGAATACAAAGTAAATTCTAGAACTGTATAACATGTAAGAGGTAAAATGATTACGTAACGAATGATAAACGCTGTTGGGAAAGGTAAATATGATGTTCCTTCTAATCAAACAGCAGATAAGGCAGTGCGTCGAAGGTCGACTGTGGGCAGACAGGGTTGGCTGGGGTATGGGTGTAATTTTCACTCGACCTGTGTGTCGAGTGTGTGGGAGAATAAATTTCTAAAACGCGATGAGTATATAAACTTTTTATAAAGGTTTTCAAAAAACGTAAAATCCTATTTCTGACGAAGTAAAATTCTTGAATTATATCTCAGACATCATAAACCAAGCGTTCTGACGAAGTACTAAGCTTACGACAGGTTCAGCACGGCAAATTCATTCATGCAATTAATTACTGCGTGGTAAAACAATTTTTTTAGAAAGTATTTTTTAAAAGACCTTAACAAAAACGAAGTTATCTTTTTAACGAACATTTCAGCAAGAAAATTTTTTCTTCTTTCAGGAGTTTGCTCTAATGCTATCAGCCATACAAAATCTAGAAAGATACACCAGTTTATACAAAATAAACTATATTAAATATGTATAATATTAGCGTCATTCTAATTGCGCTCGGGCCTGAATTGAGTTACGATATAGCGTTTAGTTTTTCATCGAAACTATGATATTTAGGGCCTTTATAATTATCATTTGGTTGGACAGACGAGCATAACCCCCCGACAATCGTAAAGTAGCGATACAAATTGTAACAAACAATCTTGCTTAGAGCATCACTCTCTCTCGACTGCAGACCCAGAAGAATCTCTGCGCGACCTTTCTAGAAAGCGAACCGCTTTTACTAAGTCCCATAAATCTTTGCGCTTAGAGTACATTCATAATCAGTTCAAATGGAATCGATTCTATGGTACGTAATTACGTCATCTACGTTCTCCCTGGTACTCATACATGATCATTTGCTACGCAATAAACGTAAACGATGAACCATAAAATAGCTAAAACCCCTGAGCGTTCTGTGAACCCCTTATTGACAGACGCTTGTCGTCGCTCGACCAAGCTAGTTAAAAACCTTCAGCTTCAACTGAATGTCAACGGCGTGTTTGATGGCCACTTCAAAAACTTCAGGGTTCGTCGATTTCAGCTTCAGACCAAAAAATCATTTACGCCCATGCACCAACCATTTTTGGATAATCGCTATGATACCGATACGCAAGCTGAACATGTAGCTACAACGGAGTAAGTAAAAATTGCTCGAGTCTCACCTTAACAATACAAAATCGGCTTCTTCCTTTGTTTCGCAACAAATTTGCAATATTCCGAAGCTTCGTTTGACCTTCTTGTGGAACCCCTCACGCGGCTTTGGCCTTGATCTCCTCCGCTCCTACAGTTCGTTCTCCTGGAAGTGAAGCAGCGGCAGACTGAGTGGGGTGCACGCCTGTAGGTCGATCAAGCTGTGTGTACACGAGATATGGATGAATCGGTCTTCTTCGGCCTTGACGAGTAGGCAAAATTCTCTCCGCTGGAACTTCTAACAGCGATGGTTTGGCTTCTACATTGTAGGATAAGACTTATATGGCGAGTATAAGCTTTAGAGAGTCTCTCGCTCCCTCTCTAACTTCGCTTGCTCGGAAAGCCCGAAATCCACTGTCAATCTACAACGAGCAGTTATACAGAACTATGTAATGTCAACTCAATAGTTGTATAGATGTCCTGGATTATTCACAAGGAATAGCCGCAGTATGAGACTGAATCTAAACGACGATTAGTGACCGTTTTCGACATCGATCCATTTTCTAGATATTTCATATTATAAAATAGAGATCTCTATTATATCTGCGTATCTACGAGTCTTTGATTTGAGAACGATGTATATGGCTTGAAGATGTGTTTGCTTCTGTTCGGTGGGTTTGCTGTGGCCTATTTCTATGGTTGTACCATTCTGATGCAAAACATGGGAAATGTCTGCGAACACTCATTGTTCTTAAGGAAAGAAAATGGAAAGTGCTTTTGACAAGTTTAGTGTCTTGTGGAAAATATTAAATATGGCGTATGGTGAATTTTTTCTCGATTCAGAAGCTTGTGTGCGGCATCTTTTTAACCGAATGAAATATCGAGAGAAAACAGGTCAGTTAACAAACAAATCTGACTAAGGCGAGTATCGCAGAGTCATGCGAAAGAGATCATTTCAAATGAGCGTGTTCAGCTTTTTAGACGACTGGAATACAATCGCAGCGGTTACAAGCCATTGTTTTAAGGCCAGCTTTCGGCTTGGCGGCCTTGCGCTCAGGCCGAAGCAAATTGCTTAAGGAACAACTCAACTACTCAAAAGCAGAGGTTTTTATTAGTCTCCAATGGCTCACGAAAGCTGGCCGACCAGATAGTAGACGCGATCAACAAGGATCAGGCGTATTATGCTACATTATAACCTTGTAGCCTTTCTCACGGTTAAGCTAAAAGTTTGCAAAGCAGGTGAAAGCAATGATTTTAAACGCGAAGAACCTTAACTAGAACAACTGTTTGCTATTATTAAGTAAATCATAAACGGTCCACCCTTCCGTACATGTCCTTCATCCTTTTCAGGTACACGATTGTTTCTCCGGTGACGTTTCCAAAAAATTTAAAGTGTTTCCACGGCTTGCCGGTCCCCCAGCGGCTTGAGTAAGACACCTCTGTTTTCTAAAATATATGGCGATGTTCGAAATAAGATCGCAGCTGATTCAAACTAGGAAATTACTGATACGACTTACGTTAATTGATAAAAAAAATGGCTTGAATTAGTTGCATTATGCATATATCTCATCTTTGATTTTGTCTTCAGCCTTTTTCGCCCCTTTCCTTGAGATGTCGTTAGTTTCGAAAACGGTCGTAACGGTTATTGTTGATGGTTGGACCTAGTTTCACAAAAACCCTGCGATGAAGAATGTATGTTTAAAAAAACCTATTTTCATCCCTAAAGCCTAAGTAAGTTATTCCAAATTTTCATTGTGCGCATTGGCTCGTAAGCTTATGGCAAGGCAAAACGACAAGCTATGTCAGATCCAATTCGTAGATAGTTATGATTAACAAGTACAATCTTATAATAATACCAATTAATTGTCAAGCTGTAACTTGTAGATTGTTCATCATCGAGGTAGAACTTGCTCGCTATCTTCATTGTCGATAGCTGTCGTACGCATGCTTTTTACCATTCTTTGCATGAACAAAAACAAAGCAATTGTTTTTACCTATAAAAAAAAATGGACGGTTCGTTTTGGTTTTAGTGTTTAGGAATCAATGTCGTTAATCGGGATGCTGTCTGCAAAAATGAAGAGTTGAAGCCCTGCAGTAGCAATTCGATAACCGGCTCAGCACGGCTGTAGGTGATCTGTAACGTAAAAGTCGCAGGTCTATTGAATTTCGTAGTTTTCGAACGTCCGGGATTTCACTTGCTCCGCCATGCAAATACGATTCAAGGTAATCCGTTAGGACTGAGCACTAATTTATTTACGCTCGTAATATACAATCATTTCCAAAAAAAATGCTTCTGGTCAATAAGGGCGATTACAAGGAAACCGAAAGATCTCTATCGGACGGATAGAACAAGCGAATCTAAGTAGAGATTGAAGGTGCGTTTATTAGGTTTATTTAGGCAAAGAGAAACATATAACAATAGGACGCGAGTAAATAGAAGTGAGACTGCCAAAAAAAAAGTACAAATCATATGAGGTCGCGCAGCTTCCTATTACAAATTGCAGTTTTCAGGTTTCTGTAGGAACTGAAATCGAAGGAATAATCGAATCAAAACAATTGGATCGTTAGAAAGTGTTTAAATAGTCACAGCCACTCAGCTTCTTTCCATTATTTCCTATACATTGGTTGTGAAGGCAAGTTTAAGATTTTAACCGAAGCTGACCCCTTGGTGTGTCCTATAAACCCTTACCGGTAAATAACAAACCCAGGAACTTGTATAAAAGCTTTTTCTATAGATAAAATACATGTTAATATAGAGAACGGAACAAAAATATTCGACAGTTGGAAAAAACTCGTTTGACAGTGTGAGTCTTCATCTGATATCTGCTAAAGTAGCAAAGAAATAGAATGTAGTAAAAATAAGAATTAAAAGAAAAATTAACTGAAACCTCTCGAACTATCAAGCGGTCCTTTCCTCTCCCCAACTTGTATAATGTTTACGTGAGAAAACAATCATCAATGAGAAAAGACCATTTGCCACAATCAAAATCCTTTGGCCCCATCGAGGCCCTATCTAGAAACGAATTCCTGATCAGACATGGCATACCAACCAGTAGGCCAACCAAAATCCAGTAGATTTAGAAGAGCTTCCACATTCAAGACCACCTCCAACTATACCTATCAGGTAATAGAATTTGCGATTCTAGTTCTACCAGAATAGACCTTTATTACGCCGCTCTGATCAAGGTGCAATTAAGCCATTACACACAAAACTATTACAGCAGTCTTCCTATAGTCCCTGAGGGCAATCAGTAGGAAGTAGCTGTCTCGGGCTATCGCCATAAATCTACCCAACACGGCCGGTTCTTTCCTCGTCCATCAGGGCAGCGCCCTCCCCTACTGGAAAGGGCAGTCTGCATAGTTGAGTATGGTCCATGGTCTCGTAAGCGCCCCCTGGCGAGCACGTGAGCATCGGGACAGTCTCTTGGCTGAAGTCAAAGTGAGTCGCAGTCCGTTTGACGGGTGGTATGATGCCTCCATAGGTTAATACAGAGAGGAAGACCGTGAAAGGAAAAGGAAAACGTGTGATAAAGTGATGTGTGCTTCTTGGTGATGAAGTTGGCGCTCTTGGGCGGAGTAAGATACATTTCTAAGTGGATAAGCGATGTTCTGTTGTTGTTGTTGTCGTCATCGTTAACAATTCATTGGGCCTCCCCCGAGCTGTCAAATGTGTTCACTATATTTCTAAATTGGGCTGTAAATTTGGTGGTAGTTATAGGCAAAGTGTTAACTCTAATGTGTGCATAGCTTTAATAGTAAGTGGTATTCGCTTTAGCTGGGACAAAGATGTATACTAAGTAAATATGATTGGCTGTTTGTGTAGCTCGATATTAGCCATTAACATTGGTATAGACTATGCGAGTGTGTCCTTAAAATCACCGGCTAATTGTGTCAGTGGAAATAATGTCTGATGGCTCATCAGCGTAACTTTAGCTTGGTATCTTGAAAACTGTGATCTGCCTTTGTAGCCAACAGAATAGTCCGAAAGCTTTCATAGCCAAATACGAAAGTCCAGCTTAAAAGTTTTCAGATTTGGGATTTTTGTTAACTTTATTGTTCTTGCATCGGACGTTTACTGTTTTCTGCTATGCGGAACAGAGCGATGTGTGTCACAAACTATGTCGTGAAGCAATATGAACCGTGAAGCATCGGATAGTAGACTCATCATCGAAAGAGGAGAAATGCGGAAGTGCTAATAAAGGCGTGCGTTCATTAAAACAGATGTATCGAGTGTAAAAAGACGTAATGTTTAATAAAGGCCCTTCCGCGTAAAGGAACTGAAGTACTCGCCGATGTGAAGATTTGCGATAACGATGATGCACCGGTGGATAAGGCACGCGCTTTATGCAGTGGTCCTCGGTGTATTTTTCGAACTCACATGGAGTCTCGGAGAAATTCATGCGGCAAGGCACTATGCCGGCGACAGTCGGGCAACACAACTCGGAATAAAGTGGGCTAGTTACCGTGGGAGGAGAACAGCCGGGAGGTCCGTTCAGTCAATACCTGCCGGAATCCCAAAACTTTCAGAGCAAGAATATGAAGGGATTCGAGACCAATCACCTGTGGTTAGTGCATTGGACAGTATTAAGGATGATGACATCTCGCAGGAGCTCATTTTGCCACCGGAGTTAGCACCGGCAGATAGTGATAAAACTTTTGGTAGGTAAGGACAACGGAACAACTTTACGTTGTTGCCGATGTCATATATATGGTCATATCATACATATGGTCTAGATTCTACGGGAAGTTAGTTTAAATTGAAATTTGAACTAACAAAACAAATCTCCATATATACCAAGAGATTTAACAGAACCAGTTTAAAGAGAGCTTAAGGTTTTTTGAACTAACTTTTTGCGGCATCTTTTTTTGTTAGAACACAGATTCAGATCTAAGAACAAAGAACTGCTCTGTAATTAGTCGTTTTTCTTTTTTTTGCTAAAATCATTTGGTGTGGCTCTTCTACTTCAAAACAAGGAAAACAATATATTGGACAAATCCGGATGCAACACGAATATAATAAAAGTCATCCTGCTGAGAATTGCGTGTTTGAACAACGTCAAACAGTCACTAATTCCTCTGGCTAAAAAAAACCGTGACTAGCTGTTTAATAGCGGTTGTGTGATAAAGGTTCTCCAGTCTTCCGGGAGGCTTCATCATTTCCAGAGTCTCCTGAAATTGAATTCAACGAAAATTCACAATCGTGGTCCACAAATGGTCCTTATAAATCTGAATGATTTTCTGATGCCAACAAAACACTGCGAGATCATTGACTCATGATATGGAGACTTTTGTTTATAAACTGAAAGTGTAAATATCCTTATAAAAGATGGCCAAATTATATGATTTTTACTCTAATTTTCAGTTTAATTAATGCTGGCTAGAAACACTGTACAGAATAGGAAACTCCGAGACATGACCTTTACAAATCTAAGTGTTGCTATAACACACAAATTCGATAATCATAATAAACATCAGTGGTCAATAGTCATTAAGGCTGAATCAATCTCGAGACGTTTCGAGATGTTTCGAAAGACTTAGAGCGATAAAACTATGAAAGTTCTAGAGATGAATTTTTTTCCATCAGATCCTCGTTTAGCAACGATTGGAGCCGCCGGCGATACCCCGGAGCTTCTTAGCGTAATCGGTTAGTTACTGTATCATAAACGGGCTAGCCTATATTCATGTACCTGTCACTCATGCGATATAGATAAATCCATATAATTATCTCAGGAAGTTTGTGTTTACAACAGAGTCGAACGCTAAATTTTTTCCCAGAGCGAAGCCGGTGCCAAACGGCGAGTGGTAACTGGGATTTTCTAATAAATCCCCTACTATTATTCCCATTAAAACACTAAATCCATGAGTTCAGGGGATAGGTCGTATAGGTTTATTAACTACTCACGATGCCAACATATTCACAAGGTAAACTCTGTAGCAATCGAGGACGAGCATTTCTACGAATTATAATAGTAAACATATCACAACTTATTCATTTTGAATAAACTTTATTTCCGTTAATTTCCATATGGTACTACTGATGGTACTAGAGACATTTTACGACAAGATCGCTTAGTTTACTATATATATATATATATATATATATATATAGTGAATGGTTGAAATAATACTTAAAACAAAATGAACGCAAATGCAATATTTTATCTTTAAAACGATGTTGCTAAAACTAACAATACAGCATCATTTCGATTAATGGTCTTCTGCTGTTTTTTTTTTTGGTAACATTACAGTCCCGTCATTGTAAACCTCCTGTGATCTTTAGGTGAAGAACTGGCATAAGTGATTTTTGCATTTCTTTATTGAAAATAAATTAGCACGATTCTATTATTAGACCGAAACAGATGATAGTAGGGCGTTTGGCCTGTAGGGTGAATGAATAAATAAAGTTTTAAATACGAATTGCCGTTGTGGACGACACCCGTGCTGTCGATTTTTTGAGTGACTTTCTGTAATCTTGTTCGTTGTGGACAGTAAATGTCCGAATCAATCATACCCCTAAGCAGCAGAAACTTGTAACTTCCTACCTCACCAAACAAACAAACAAACAGCATCACCGTCTTTTATATCAGTGCAAGTTTAGCCACAGATTGGGTAGACTTTGCCCGCTTTAGCCATAACCTTTTTCGCACATTATTGTCCTATATAATTAATTTTTTTTCATCACCCATAGCTCGATTTCGCTACGGTTCTGTAAGTTTAACACCTGAAAGCCCGACTGTGTTTGCGTCGATTCACGCGGCACCCAAATATCAAGTTTGTTTTTTTTTCTTTTAGCAGCCATCCTTCTTCGTATGGTTCAAAACTATTGCATCGCGGATCATTGGCTGCTTGGCGATGCTGTAGGTACAGGCAACAGTTCATCAACTTTTATCGTAATTTGTCGACCATCCACAAAAAAAACATCGACAGTAAAAGCGCCAGAACATTTTGATCACAAACAGCAGAATAATGTTATGGGTCTGGGTGGCATTTATGCCCTTATCGTAACAAAACTATAACATGTAGCAAATTGTTATAGCAATATTGTTCATTCTCAAGACACTCACCTTAAATCTGGACAAAATCATCGCAGTAGTTTGATAGCATATTTACTACAGTCAAATCCTAGCTTTCTTTCAATGAGTATCAAAGTAGAACCCTTAGCGCGACTCGTACTACCTACTAACTCCTTCTACTAGGATCTACCTAGAAAAACCACGACTATTTTTTTCTAACCAGCCTAATATGTACTGGCCTATATACTTGATTGGTGTGCGTTACGTCAGCTTAAATGACACACAAATGTCTTTTTTTCTAAATCGCAGATAGAAAGGACCGTTCTTTTTCCAAGCATTAATGTTACATACTGTAGTCATAATCGGAAGTAGTACGTCTAAGTCATTGGGAAGTTTAGCGTTCATTTTATATACAACGTGCAAATATTATATATATATATATATATATATATATATATTAAATATAAATAATACAATATTATATATATATATATACTATATAGTACACATACAATTTGTACAGTCATCTCTGTGGATACATAAGACAGAATGTATACGATGTGGCAAAAATCTCCGGACAGTTTGAAAGGAAATGTCACTTGACAGTCTAAAAGTCTTCATGTTAGATTTTTCAAACTCAAAATATATGGAAAATTCGAGTGGAAAACCGTTAAGGGACTAGCATTTAATTCCCTCCGTATAATACCAGACGGTAAACCCCCCTAAGCGGTACGTTCATTTTTCGAGTCATCTGATTTACAAGGTTCATAGCCTCGTTACGAGGTTTACTGCATAGCGTCACTCATTCGATCAGAGTACTATCTACTTCACTTTTTTCCGGAAAGATACTGCCTTCCCCTCACCCCATCTAGATTATGACCTAAAATTATCGTGTGTTATTTCTAATTGCACATGGCGGATGAATTTAATAGGACGCCAGTAAATTGTCATGGGCTAAAAATATTTAATGAAGCAAAATATAATTGTCCTTGTCCATAGTTTCGTTTGACATTTTTCCCGGCATCGCAGAAAAATCTCATTACCAAATCATTTCATTCTTGAACTAATTACAGTATCAGAAGGTCCCTGATCGGACACTCCACAGCATCAGCAACGGTAGACCATGTCGAATATGGCTTATTGCAAATGTATCGTATTCTGTGCAGCTGTGCTCGCTTGACAAATAGCTCAGAAGCAAACCATTTCCACGAGCTTATAAACAGAAGTGCACCTGTTCAATTTTACCCATGGAGAAACGCGTCTTTCTCTGATTCCGTACCTTAGGGCCGTATACTCAAGACGCCGTCGACTTCTTTTTCCCTAGTATATATTTTATTATAAGGAACTTGCACTAAAAGCTAAAGCGCTGGCTAAGAGCGCATCATCAAGAAGGAAATCTTCGAGACTCTCTAGTTTTTAGGTTTTTTTTTCCTCTAAGCTGTCGCCGTCTACTCTCTATATTTATCCATCAATTTCTCCTGGAGCCTCTCGCGTCTTTCACCCAATATTTACTCACTCGTGCTAACGCACTAGCAGGAGCAATCGAATCCCCGCTGTGCCTAGATTTAGCCACTTTTAGTACCTACGTAGATCAACGCTCTCTGCCGCTAAAACCGTCTCCAAGACTAGTAGGCGTTGGGGCGCAGCTTCTCGTAGGGCGCAGTCTGTAACCTCATCTAACTACTTCTTAGCCATGTGCATTTGTACAACAGAGTAGTGCCCCCGCCAAACTTGTTACTAGCTCTACTGTCCGTTTCTTCGGACCTTGCTATTTTCCTGTTAGCAGCAGTAGCGGCAGCTTTATTACCCTGCGGGTTTTGGAGTACTACCTGCCTTATACCGGCTAAAGGCCAATTGCCGTAATTGGACTGCCAATCTTTTCAGAGGTTGCCCTCCATCTGTGAGTCTCGCCTCTACATATCCTACACGAGCCATTATCTCCGCTACTCGATTACTCTTTTGATGGTGTCTATAGACAGTTGGTCACCATCTGGCTATGCTGCTTGGTTTTTGTTATATAGCAGATTTTAGTCGGGATTTTTGCTTCGCAGCTACCGGGATCTGGCTAAATCGGGTCGACTTTTCCACGGCTATCGAGTGTAAAAGCAGGTCATATTTGCACTACAATTATATATTTAGGCTGAAGAAGAAGAACTTCAAGGTTAGCATTAGGTGACAGAAAAAAAGGACAGCGGACGTTGAAAGTAAAAGACTTATCCATACATTGAGTGATGAATAGAGGCATCGTAGGATGTGGGATTAGGTAGTGCTCTATGAGTGGGTTACATTCCTACTCCTCAGGAATAGGATAGTAAATAGTTGCTTTTGAGTGAGGGGTGGATATCCTGAGGATCGTTTGAATAATCTTTTTAACACAAAGCACTAGGATTCGTACCGATTTGAAGAAACGTATCTGTGAATATCATGCGGTGCAACCCTAGGCGCTAGATTTTTTCATTCCTGCACAAAGCTCTTCTGCGCCCGAACTTATAACAATGGCCATTGGTTAGTATCTATCGCAGTGTTGACGACAATACCGGATTATGCAAAGACCAAAAAGCCGAGCATTGGGTAACATAGGCTTCGCTTAATGATACTGGCCGATAAAGATGTTGAGTTTTCGTCTTGTACAATATAAATGCACCT